TCAATGTGCTTAATAGAAACCAATATCGTTTTCTGTAGTTAAAGATAATAACAGTAAGCATAATGGGCCAGAACAATTTTACTGAATTTTAAATATGAAAATTATAACAAAATACAAATAAATACAGAAGTGGTCTGCTATCCCCCTCTTTAACTGGAGTCCTGGAGTATGCTCCGCATTCGGGACACCATACCAATTTGAGGTCTTTTAAAATAGATAGGTATGAATGCACGTTGACATCCTCCAGCAGTCAAAGTTTGTTTTCTTTGGTCTTCTTGAGCACGGATACATTCACAGGTATACACGTGACCCCCTATCCTCTCCAGCCGGGAAAAAAAAAAAAAAAAAAAAAGATTATGTGTATGAGTGTTTTGCCCTCATGTAAGTGCAATGCCCATGGAGGCCAGAAGAGGGCATTGGATTCCCTGGGACTGGAGTTACCGACAGTCGTTAGCCACCATGTGGTTGCTGGTAACTGAACCCAGGTCCTCTGTAAGAGCAGCCAGTACTCTTAACTGCTGAGCCAACTCTCCAGTGCTGATTTATTTTATTTTTAATTATGTGTGTGTTTATGTGTGGTTGTGTGTACATGTGAGTGCATATGCCCTGGGTACCGGTGCCAGCTGGCTGAGATGAACAGCACCTGAAAGGGGGAGTGAGGATTGAAAGAAAAACAAGAGACAGAGAAAGATACTTAGGAGGACTGTCAGTAGAGACTGCAGCCCGGTTTATTTCAGCTCCGCCTTTTTATACAGTAGAACATCAGAGATAGCCACCGTTTGCTTAGCTCAATCAGCTTCAACAGCTGCTTTTTCCCACCTTTATCTGAGGGTCAAGGAACTGTCAAATACTTGTTGTGAATTCCACCATTTAACCATCTTCCCTAAGTTATCAACACATTCCTCCTGACTTGGCAGAATAATTAGGTACTGGTGTGCAAAATACACAAACTCTTGAGTCAAGGTGAAAGGTCATAAAGTAAACAAGCAAGCCTGCCACAGTTCAATGTACATAACAGCTGTGCTTATACTAATAGCTCCCAACACCTGGGAATCCAGAAGAGGGTGCTGGAGCTGGGCGTTGGGGCACATGTCTTAAATCCCAGCACTTGAGAGGCAGAGACAGGTGTGTCTCTGTGAGTTCAAGGCCAGCCTGGTCTACATAATCAGTTCCAGGCCAGCTGGGGCTACAGGGAGGCCCTGTCTCAAAAAGATCAAAAAACAAAACAAAACCAAAAAAACAGAATAGGGTGTTGGATAGCCTGGAGTTGGAGTTGCAGGCAGTTGTGAGTCACCTGATACATGTGCTAGGAACCCAGCTTGAGTCCTCTGGAAGAACAACACATGCTCTTACCCACTGAGCCATCCCTCCAGCCAGTCTTGTGTATTTTCTTGTTTTTGTTTTGTTTTGAAATGAGGTCTTGCCCTGTAGCCTAAACTGGCCTGGAACCCCAGCAGTCCTTAGATTCTGGAGTGTTAGATTGACAGGCATGAGCCACCAGGTCCCAACTTCAACCTTGCAAAATAGATTCCCAGAATGGGAGTGATTCCTTAGATCTACTTGAATCTTTAAAACTTTTTATGTATCTGAGTGTTTTGCCTGCACATAAGTAATGTATGTAAGTGCACCACATGTATGCAATGCTCAAGGAGGCCAGAAAAGTATGTCAGATCCCCTGGAAGTTAAGGAAGGTTGTTAGCCACCATGTAGGTGATGGGAACTGAACCCGGGTCCTCTGCAACAGCAGCCAGTGCTCTTAAGTACTGAGCCATCTTTCCAGCTCCATGTTTGAAAAAATTTAAAGAAAAATTATATAAGAAGTTGGGGGACCCTCCCCTCCAATTCTCTACCTTTCCTTCTCCCTTGAAGGGATCCTCAGGAGATCAAGCGGACAGCCACACACCTCTCCTGGCACCCGGATGGTAACAAGAAGTTGGCAGTGGCATATTCCTGCTTGAATTTCCAGCGGGCACCCATGGGCATGAGCCATGACTCGTACATCTGGGACCTGGGTGAGAAGCAGCTGGACTCAGTGGCCAGGGAGGGCTGAGGGGCCAAGGCAGAGGTCAGCACACAAGTCAGGGAGCCCAGGGTAGAAGCACGGGGTCAGAGGTGCTCTCAGAGAGGGCAGTGAGAGGAGGGAGGTACTTGTCCCTTCTCTGAGGGGCAGCATGCCTCAGCAGAGCCCGAACATTCCCTTCACTCCACATTTTCTTTTTCTCTTTCTTTTCTTTTCTTTTTTTGAGACAGGGTCTCCCTGTAGTCCCAGCTGTCCTGGAACTTGCTATGTAGACCAGGCTGGCCTTGAACTCACAGAGATCTGCCTGCCTCTGCCTCCTGAGTGCTGGGATTAAAGGTGTGTGCCACTCCACGTTTTTCATTCAGTGCTGGAATGGAAGTCATGGCCTTGCTCAGGCTAGGCAAATGCTAATGCCACTGAGCTACACACCCTGGTCCAATTCTAAACTCATTTAACTAATTAATTTTTATTTTATGTTTACGAGTGTTTTGCCTGCATGATGTAAATGCACTGTGTGTGTGTGATGCTTGTGGAGGCCAGAAGAGGGTGTCAGATGCTCTGGAACTGGAGTTACAGATGGTTGTTAGCTACCATGTGGGTGCTGGGAACTGAACCCAGGTCAGTGCTCTTAACCGCTGAGCCATCTCTCCAGTTCCCCAACTCCAGTTCCAGACTTAATCTGGGCCATTAAAACCAGACCCCATGAGATCCCAATTCTTAGCCCTAAAGATCCTACCAAAAGGATGCCTAGTTGACTGAAAAGAGGCCCAAATGTCGGGAGGGGGGGAACTTTGTCCCACCTTTCCTGACACTTTTCCTTCATTCATGGCTGACAGGGTCAGTGGACCCACCTCACAGCTCAGAAAATTTTCTACAGGGAGCAGTGAGCTCAGACATTCCCTGTCTTTTGCAGATCAGCATGTTCCTGCAGCTCCTTCCCCCTCTCCCAGGGTGGACTCCAATTTTAACCCTAGTACAGACCTGGGTGGAAGAAATTGATGGCTAGTGGATTTTTATTTATTTTTTTATTTTCTTGTCTTTTTCGAGACAGAGTCTCCCTGTAGTCCCAGCTGATCTGGAACTCACTATGTAGACAAGGCTGGCCTCAAACTCACAGAGATCCTCCTGCCTCTGCCTCCCAAGTGCTGGGATTAAAGGTGTACACCACCACAACTGGTAACAGCTAGTGGATTTTTCTAAAAAATTATTTTTATTTTATGTGTATGCGTGTACTGCCTGCATGTAAGTAGGTGCACCCATGTCGTGCAATGCCTGTGGCAGTCAGAAGAGGGTGTCAAATTCCCTTGGAACTGAACGTTTGTTAGCTGCCGTGTGGGTCCTCTGCAAGAGGAGTCAATGCTCTTAACTCCTGAGCCATCTCTCCAGCTCCAGACACCGGATTTTTAAAAATGTGTTATTACCGTGTGTATATGTGCCAGGGCACATGTGTAGAGATCAGAGGACAGCTTTGTTGGAGTCAGTGCCCTTCTTCCACTTTTACATGGGTTCCAGGGATTGAACTCGGATCTTCAGGCTTGAGCAGCAAGTGCCTTTTACCTGTTGAGCCATCATGTTGGCCCCTAACATGGTAAAAACCTTAGGGTCAAAATTTTATTTTGCACCAAACCCAGGGAACAGACTAGAAATGGAATTCAATACACAAATGCATACCCCAATTCTGACCACGCCCTGAAATAAAGCCATTAGCCAAGATTCAGACCAAGGGGACCGGAAGGAGAGGAGGGACCCCCAGCTCCCATCTTTGTCACCCTTCATATGTAGAAGGGGTTGGACTGATCGGCCCTGTTCTTTTTCCATCCACAACTCATGGGACTTTTTTTTCTGTCTCTAGAAAACCCCAATCAGCCTGAGCTAGCCCTGAAGCCACCTTCTCCACTTGTCACATTGGAGTACAACCCCAAAGATTCCCATGTGCTCCTAGGAGGCTGCTACAATGGGCAGATAGGTAAGGAGGACCTCAACACCCAGCCAGCAGCCAGGCCTGGTGCTGCTGCCCAGAACCTACCTGGCCACCTGGGCTGGGCTTAGACCAAGTAGGTAGGCCATTCTGGAAGCCAACCACAGCAGTCCCCTGGGGAGTCAAGGTTCTGGGTACTGTGGTCTGACCTCCTATCATCAACATTCAGGTAAATCTAGAATTAACACAAAAATGAGAAGGTTTTAAAAATTATAGTTTGGAGCCGGGCATGATGGCACATGCCCTTAATCCCAGCACTCGGGAGGCAGAGGCAGGATCTCTCTGAGTTTGAGGCCAGCCTGGTCTACATAGTGGGTTCCAGGCCAGCTGGGGCTACAGGGAGATCCTGTCTCAAAAAAAGCAAAACAAAACAAAAAAACTATAGTTTGAGCTGGGTGTGGTGGCTCAGTTGGTGAGGATACCTGCCACCAGGCCTGGTGGCATGGATTAGATTTCTGGGACCCACATGGTGGGTGGAATGTGAGAAAGTGGACACCCTCAGGTTGGCCTCTGATGTCCACACATATGCTATGGCATGCATGCACACACACTATAAATAAATAAAATATAGTAATTAAAAAATAACTATAGTTCAAGTAAAGCCAGCCATAGCGGGACGTTGGGGCTGTTACAGTCTCGTGGGAATTGGTGTGTGCTGCCAGGCTCATCAAAGTATCCCTTCTTGTACTGGTTACTGTTCTGGTTGCGTAAGGCTGTCTGAGAGAAGCAATTTAAGGAGGAGAAGTTAATTTTGCTTCACAGGTCTGGAGGGACCTGTCCATCACGGCAGGGAAGGCATGGTAGCTGGGATGCGTTGGTCCAGGGTGGTGGGAGCTTGCCATACTGATTTCTTTTTAAAAAAGCATTTTGTTTATTATTTCTATTTTATGTGTATGAGTGTATTGTCTGCATGTGTGTAAGGGCACCTGTGTCGTGCGATGCCTGAGGAAGTCAGAAGAGAGGGTCAAATTCCCCTGGAACTGGAGTTATGAATGGTTGGTTGTTAGCTGCCATGTGGATGCTGGAAATCGAACCTGGGTCCTCTGCAAGAGCAATCAGTCCTCTTAGCCACTGAGCCATCTCTCCAACCCAGCATTGATTTCTAATGACATGTCCACCGTGAAGCAGAATGTTCAGGCTGGAAACAAGGCCTGTCCCCTAGCAACATACTTCCTCCAACTGGTTCCCACCTCCTAAAGTTTCCACAACCTTATAAAACAGTGCCACCAGGTAGAGACCAAGCACAGGAACCTGTGGGGGACATTTCACATTGATTGATGATTGATTGATTGATATTAGAGAGAGAGAGAGAGAGAGAGAGAGAGAGAGAGAGAGAGAGAGAGAGAGGATAGAATATATATGGATGTGCATGGGAAGGTCAGAGGACAACTTGCAGGAGTCTGCTCTTTCCTATCATGTTGTCTCCAAGGAGTAAACTCAGGTCATCATGTCATCAGGCTCTCTACCAACTGAGCTACATCTTCAGCCCCATCCCCCTTTCTAGATAGGATATCGTGTAGCCTAAGCTAGCCTCAGCTCACTATGTAGCTGAGGATGACCTCCTTCCTCCATTTCCTAAGTGCTGAGATTATAGGCATGCACCCCATGTCCAGCTTTTCATCTATCTATCATCTATCTATCTATCTATCTATCTATCTATCTATCTATCTATCAATCATCTATCTATCTACCTATCTATCTATCATCTATCTATCATCTGTCTACCTATCATCTATCAATCAACTATCTATTCACTTATTTGAAACAGGGGCTCCATATGCAACACACACAGACCTTGAATTCGCTGTGTAGCCCAGGCTGGCCTTATGTTGACACCTCCTTGATTCAGCCTCCCGAGTGCTGGAATTACAGGTATGAACCACCATGTCCAGTTTTGCTTTGGGTTTAATTGCTCTTCTTTTTCCAATTTGTTTTTTAAATTATTTGTTTTATGTGATTGAGTGTGTTGTCTGCATGTATGCAATTACACCTGTGCATGCAATGCCCATGGAGACCAGAAGAAGGCATTCGTAACTAGAGTTACAGATGGCTGATAGCCACCATGTGGGTGCTGGGAATTGAACCCGGGTCCCCTGCTAGAGCAGTCAGTACTCTCAACTACTGAGCCATTTCTCCAGCCCCTAATCTGAGACAGAATCTTACTGACTAGCCCAGGCTGGCCTTAAACTCCTGCATTCCTAAGAAGGGGGCCCTGTCAGACCTGCTCCTCTCTAGGGGAGCTGTGGGACAGCTGTGAGCTATGGTACATCTCCCCACCAGGTTCTCTGGTTGTCTGAGGCCCCAAGACCGCAGTGGAGCTCTGTCATGAGTTATTCAGGAGCCTGCCTCATTATTCATAACCCTTTCGGTGGCTTTTCATGCCAGCTCAGAGCCGCCTGCTCTGTAAGAAGACCCGAGTGTGACATCTGGGACACAGAACCCACCCCAGAGCCCTGCTTTGAAGCAAGTTAGACAAGGAAACATTTCTGGGCTGGACCAGATGCAAAAGCCCTGGATTTGGGGAATATTAGGTCAAAACTTAGAAACAAACGCTTTCGTCTTACAAAACCAGCATTCCTGGAAATAGTGCTTAATGAAGATGGGAAATAAAAGCAGATACGTTAGGATGGACAGCAAATAGGCTTCTCTCCATTGTTGGCCAAGTGGGAAGTCGCAGCAGCGGCTTGAACACCTCTGAGTTCCTTCCTTCCTCCTTCCTTCCTTCCTCCTTCCTTCCTTCCTTCCTTCCTTCCTCCTTCCTTCCTCCTTCCTTCCTTCCTTTCTTCCTCCTTCCTTCCTTCTTTCCTTCCCCCTTCCTTCCTTCCTTCCTTCCTTGCTTCCTTCATCCCTCCTTCCTTCCTCCTTCCTTCCTTCCTCCTTCCTTCCTTCCTTCCTTCCTTCCTCCTTCCTTCCTTCCTTCCTTCCTTCCTCCTTCCTTCCTTCCTTCTTTCCTTCCCCTTCCTTCCTTCCTCCTTCCTTCTTCCTTCCTTCCCTCCTTCCTTCCTCCTTCCTTCCTTCCTTGTTTTGGTTTTTAAACATTCAATTTATTTGTGTGTATGTGTGTGTATGTGTGTGTGTGTATGAGACAGAGACAGACAGAGACAGAGACAGAGGAAAACTTGAAGAATTCAGTTCTCTCTTCTTACCATGTGAACTCTGGAAATTAATGCAGGTCATCAGGCTTGGCGACATGTGCCCTCACCCACTGGGCTATCTCATTGGCTTGCTCTCTTTTTTTCTTTCTCTTTCTCTTTCTTTCCTTCTTTCCTCCCCCCCACCATGTCTCGTATATGTTTCTTTTTTTTTTTTTTTTAAGTCTCTGTGAGTGTGTACAGGTACCCAAGGAGGCCAGAAGAGGGTGTCAATCTCCTGGAGCTGGAGTTACAGGTGGTTGTGAGCTGCTTTACATGGGTGCTGGAAACTGAACTCAGGTCCTCCACAAGAGCGACAAGTGCTCTTCACCTCTGAACCAGTTCTCCAGCCTTTTTCCTTTAAACTGCATTTTATTTCTCTATTGTGTGGTTGGGGGTTGCACATGTGCGATAGCATGAGGAGGTTGGAGGATGACTTGTGGGTATTGATTCTCTTCTAGCATGTGGGTCTTGGGGAGCGAACTCGGATTATCAGGCTCGGTGGCAGACACTTTTACCCGGTGACACCTTTACACCTTTACCTCTTTCTTTCCCTCTCTTTTTTTATGCAGGGTCTCCCTGTAGCCGCAGCTGGCCTGGAACTCACTATGTAGACCAGGTTGGCCTTGAACTCACAGAGCTCCGACTGCCTCTGCCTCCCGAGTGCTGGGATTAAAGGTGTGCGCCACTACGCCCGGCTGGCTTTTCTTTCACTTTTAAATTACCTATTATTATTACGTGTATGTGTGTGCCATGGAGCATGTGTGGAGGTCAGAGGACAACTTTCAGGAGACAGTTTTCTCCTTCTACCATGGGTTCTGAGGGTTGAACATGGGTTATCAGACTTGTGGCAAGTGTTTGTAATGCAATAAGCTATCTTACCCGACGTCTTTCTTTCTTTTTTGTTTTGTTTTTTGAGACAGGGTCTCCCTGTAGCCCCAGCTTGTCTGGAACTCACTGTATAGACTAGGCTGGCCTCCATCTCACGGAGATCTGCCTGCCTCTACCTCCCAAGTGTTGGAATTATAAGCGTGCGCCACCACTCCTGGCTGCTTTCATCATCATCATCATCAATGTGTGTGTGTGTGTGTGTGTGTGTGTGTGTGTGTAATGTGTGTGAATGCAGGCGTGCTCCTGCCATGGTGCACATGTAACGAGACCAAAGGACAAAGTTTGGTTGATGGTTCCCTCCTTCTGCTGTCGATTCCAGTGGTTGGACTCAGGTCATCGGGTGTATAGCAAGCACTTTCACCCACTGAGACATTTTGCTAACGGTCTTCCCCCACCTCCCTTTGTGAATTTCTTGCTGCAGTGAGTTCATGCAGCAGCGAGATCTGCCGGTGTTCTCACCCTGGGGGCATCTGCCCAAGCTTTTCTCCCATTGGAGTTTGGCTTCTTCCACTTCCACTCGCTCTACACTCAGCCTTAGCTCCCTGCCACTTTCCCCAGCAGCCCTTCTCTGGCCACCCTGTGCCTAGCTACCACCCTCCTCTTGCTTCTCCCAGTACTGGGCCTGGTCTATTCCCAGGGGCTTCCCCGGGGCTGAGGGTGGTGCTGGGGCACAGTGGAATGAATGAAGCCTGTTTCAGGAGTGTCTGCAGATTTTGTGGGACTGATAGGAATGGTAGGCTGGTCTGAACATGGTCCCAGTTCTAAAAATCCACATACTACCAAACGCAGAGAAGCAGTATCTCTCCAACTGGGCTCCCTCACCAGGGAAGGAACCCCAGACCTCCATCGCCACCCACCTAATGACCCCTAAAACACAGCTCTGAGTTCAAAGGGGAATGAGAACTGGTTAATCTGGGAGTCAAATATGAGTAGTTATGTCGGCTGGGGAGCATGGTCAGGTTACCCCAAATAGTAAGTTCCAACATGAAAATAGCTTCATAAAGTTTTTAGATTAGAGCTACAGAGCCAAAGAAAGTCACAAATCAAGGCACTTTTCAGACACACTGGTAGAGCCATGGTTGGTAGCACAAGTCTGTAATCCCAGCACGCAGAAAGTGGAGGTAGGAGAATCAGGAGTTCAAGGCCAGGCCGGGCTACACGAGACTCACAAAACCAAGCTAAATAGCACCCTCCACACAAGGAGCAGGTACGTGGTTATAGCAACACACATTAATGTGTTGTGGGTCTTAAGCCCAACCTGAAGGCATTCTCAGTTTGAGGGTTGGTAGTACTTAGTGGTCTGTTAATGTGTCCCAAATGATTTCACGTGATAATTTTAAGGATGTTAGGTCAGGCACAGAAGTGAGCAATGTGGGGCTGGAGAGGTGGCTCAGCAGTTAAGAGCACTTACTGCTCTTGCAGAGGACTTGGGTTCAGTTCCCAGCACCCACATGGTGGCTAACAATCATCTGTAACTCCAGTTACAGGGGACCTGACACCCTCTTCTGGCCTCTGCGGGCACTGCACACTTGGATGCACTAATATACAAAGCAGGCAAAACACTCATATACATAAAATAAATACATTTAAATATATATATTTTAAATTTTTATGTGTATGAGTATATTGACTACATGCATGTAAGTGCACCCGTGTCATGCAATACCTGCAGAGGTCAGAAGAGGGCATTGGATCCCCTAGAACTGGAGTTATAGATTATAACAGACGATCCTCCCTTTGGATGCTGAGAACCAAACTCAGGTCCCCTGTAAGAGCAGCCAGTGCTCTTAGCTGCTGAGCCATCTCTCCAACCCACAAAATAAATACATTTTTAAAAGTGGGCAATGAATGGTCACTGTGAGTGGTCACTAAAGAGAGCCTTAAGATACTCTGGCTATGGATCTGTGATTCTAGCTCTCCACAGTCCCAGAAATTCGAATCAGTCAAACAGTCTTATAGAATCTTTAATGCGGCATGACTTTTCCCTGGGAACTTCAGTTTACACGTTCATCTTCTTCCCTGTCAGCCTGCTGGGACACCCGGAAGGGCAGCCTGGTGGCAGAGCTGTCCACTATCGAGTTCAGCCACCAAGACCCTGTGTATGGCACCATCTGGCTGCAGTCGAAGACAGGCACTGAGTGCTTCTCTGCATCCACAGATGGACAGGTACCACCTGGCCAGGCCCTGGGAGGAGCTAAGGGCCTGCACGCTGCCCTGTTTCCCATCAGAATCACCCAAACATTTCCTTTTACATTTTTATTTTCTTTTCCAGTGCTGGGGCTGGAACCCAGAGCTTCATGTGTGCTAGGAAAGCATTCTACCACTGAGCTACACCCCCAGTCCTGATTTTCTTTAAAAGATGTCTCATGTAGCCCAGGCTGGCCCCAAACTCCTGATCTTCCTGCCTCCATCTTCACAGGCATGCACTACTATGCCCAGCGGCTGGGTATAGTTTTCACCCTGATAGACTCTGCTATATTGGGGTTGGGGGGGCGTTCCTTGGAGACTTCAGCCTCTTGTGCCTACATCTGGGGAGTTTGACAGTAAGACTGGGGTGAATCTCTAATATCCAAGTTTTACGAAGTTTGTCAGTGATTCTAATGAAAGTCAGGCTTGAGCTCCAGGGCCCAAGCTGTGATTCTTTTTTTTTTAAACTTAAAATTTTTTGAGTATTCCATACATGAGTACCATATTTGCATTATTTTTATCCCTCTCTCTCCCCTCCAGCTTTTCCCATGCCCCCTCATTTCATTTCAAATTCGTGATCTCTTCTTTAACATTTCTCTCTCTCTCTCTCTCTCTCTCTCTCTCTCTCTCTCTCTCTCGTCTCTCTCTTGCCCATTCAGTGTTGCACATGTGTACATGTCTTTAAGGCTGACCATGTGGAATTGGACAATTAATGACCATGGGGCGCTTAACCCCAATTGGTACGTCTACAACACAACCCCTACACCTCAGGCTCAAGGAACATGGAGGAAGAGGGGGCAGGAAGATTGTGAGAACCGTTGGACCAGGACACCTGCTGTTTGATAGTGTCCCCTAGACATGACACGAAATCTCAACAATATGGTTGCCTAAACAGGACCCGTGTAGTGACAATACCCACTGACATGGTAACATGGACAGGCGACATTTCACAAGGTTCCACATCTAGATGAGGAGCCCCAGGCTGATATCGTTTATCCTATATCCTTTGTGCCCCTGGAGGGTGGGGGAGAGGGCAAAAGGCCTCCAAGTCACCCCTCCCCCACCAGGTCATGTGGTGGGACATCCGCAAGTTGAGCGAGCCCACCGAGGTGGTGATCATGGACATAAGCAGGAAGGGGCAGCTGGAGAACGCCCTGGGGGCCATCTCCCTGGAGTTTGAGTCTACTTTGGTAAGTGTTTCTTGCTCTCCCTTGCTGGGGCTAAGGAGAGACCAGGGCTAGTGTAGCACAGGGGACCTCCTTCCTTCCCCAGGCAGCCTTACCTCACCTGCGTGGGCTTTACAGTGATCTTCCAGCAGGGGGCAGCAGAGCTCCTGGAGGAAGCTGCCATTCTCACCTGCCTGAGTTCCAGGACAGCTGGGGCTGCAGGGAGCCTGCTTCAACCTGCTTCAAAAAGACAAAACCCTGCTTCAAAAAGACAAAAAAAAAAAAAAACAAAAAAAAAAAAAAAAAAAAAAAAAAAAAAAAAAAGCTGGCTCTGCTGAGTTGACACCACAGGATTCCAGAAGATCCCTGACCAGACCAGTAGCCACACTGCCCCTGCCTCACTTGGGGACCCAGGCTGGTCATTCCTTTGCTCTGTGGAAGAAAGAAGTGTGAGGGAGGGAAATGAGAAAGCCAGAGCACAGACATAATTATGGCGGTTAATGACTGAGAAGGGACGATAAACACCAAGTGTGGAGTAGCGCTTGGGAGGTAGAGGCAGGAGGATCAGGAGTTCAAAGTCATTCTCAGCAACATAGGAAGTTTGAGGTCAACCTGGACTGCAGGAGATCCCGAATCAAAACAAGACAAACAAAAAAACGGGATCAGGCTTGGCTCAGTAAAAAAACACTTGCTGCACAACCCGATGGCCTGAGTTCGTTCAATCCCAGAATCCCACAGTGGAAGGAGAGAACTGATGTCTACATACACATGGTGTGCCATGGCATGCATGTACAATACACACACACGTACAGTAGTAATAAACAGAATAAAAATTTTAAAACTTAAAGTTGCTGGCAGTGGTGGCTCACACTTTTAATCCCAGTACTTGGGAGAGAGAAGCAGGCAGATGGAGCGCTGTGAGATTGAGGCCAGCCTGGTCTACAGAGTGAGTTCCAAGCCAGCTGGGGGTACAGAGAGACCCTGTCTCAAAACAAAAAAAAACCCTTACAGTTGAAAGCAGAGGTAGAACTACTGACAGTTTGAGACCGGCTTGGTCTACACAGCACAGCCCAGGCCAGCCAGGACTACATAGCAAGGCCATGTCTAAAAGAAAAAAAATTTAAAAAGGTCAGTTTCAAAACCGAGCAGAGAAGTAGTGGGAACGGGTCAGAGAGAAGTTTCTAGAAGCAGAAACTGACTCCCTCGATAAAGCAAGAAAGCAAACCACTTTTCCAGATGGGCTCTTAGCTTGCTGAGTCCCAAGCTGGGTTCCCTCTTGGGAATATCACTTGTCTGGCTCGGGATCATTCCTAGGACCTTGGGAGGCTCTGACCTCACACCCAACCCTAGCCATCTTCATCCATGGCTGGGAATGGATGCTGGTGGAAGGCAGTTCAGACGCCATGGCACTCTAGCCTAGGAGGAGACCCCGGAGGGAGGGCATTTGGGGATGGGGAGAGGAGGCTCAGGAAGACATTCTACCCCAATGCTGAAATTTCTAGGCCACCTGCCGAGTGTAACGCCCCTGCTTTTCCACGCCCATCCCTCACTGAGTGCACAGCCTATGCTGGACACCTGCAGCCGCCTTATCTGTTTAGCCACCACTCTCACCCCCAAGGCCCTGACGTCATCTGCTACCCAACAAACAAGACTCTTTTTTAAAAAATATTTTATTTATTATTTTTATTTTATGTGAATGAGAGTATTGCCTGCATGTATGTGAGTGCACCCATGTCGTGCAATGCTGCAGAGGTCAGAAGAGAGCTTCGGATTCCCCGAGTTAAGGGGAATTAAGGACAGTTAAGAACAGTTCATAGCCATCATGTGGGTGCTGGGAATCAAACCCGGGTCCTCTGCAAGAGCAGTCAGTGCTCTTAACCACTGAGCCATCTCTCCAGCCCACAAACAAGAATCTTAGTGAGAGTAAGCCACATGGCCCTGGCACGAGGTGAAGCTGATACTAGAGCCACAAGCTCGATTCTACCTCCCCCCAGCTGGGATGTCTGGGACCCAAAGCATGCTGGGTAGCTTACTTCCTGGACACTTAATAGGTACTCTGGCTGGCTTGATGGACTGCTTCCCAGACTCTGAAAGCTCTTTATTTTCCTTTGACACCATCTTAGCAGGTCAGTTTATGTCTTCCTTCCTTCCTTCCTTCCTTCCTTCCTTCCTTCCTTCCTTCCTTCCTTCCTTCCTTCCTTCCTTCCTGCTTGCCTGCCTTCCTTCCTTCCTCCCTCCCTCTCCCTCCTTCCCTCCCTCCCTCCCTCTCTCCCTCCCTCTCTTTCATCTTACTAAAGATTGAACCTACCGCCAACCTTCTACCACTGAGCCACACCCCCTAGCCTGTGCATGTTTTTAAAATTTCGCTAAAGCACATAAAATTACAATTTACTATCTTAACTTTTTGAGACAGGTCTCTTGTATCTCAGACTGACCTCCAACTCACTATTTAGCTAAGAACAACCTTGAATTTTACAAATAACTTTTAAAAATCAATTATATTTTATCTACTTTTGGTGGGGGGATGGTGTGCCTGTGGAGGTCAGAAGACACCTTCTAAGAGTTGGTTGTCTCCTTCCACCTTGTGGGTCCCAGGGATTGAACTCAGGTTGCCAGGCTTGATGGTAAACACCTTACTCACTGAGCCATGACCTTGAACTTCTGATCCTTTACTGGTATGTGGCCACCACATCTGGTTGAACCACTTTTAAGTGACAATTCAGTAGTATCTGTATGTTCACATTGTTGTATAACCATCACCACCATCTGGCTCTGGAACTTTCTCATCTTTCAAAACTCAAGCTCTTTATTAAGAGATGACATTTTATTTGCTATACAGACAGAACAGAAAGAGCCTGGGTAGGGAGGGCCTCTCCTAGTATGTTACTGACAAATATAATTTGCACTTCCTCATAGCTGTTTGGGTTCTGCTGACTCATACTGTTAAAGTAATGTGCCTCTTTTCCTTCCCTTCTCCGTTCCCTTCCACATTCCCTTCCACCTTCCCCTCCCTCCCCTCCCCTCCCCTCCCCTCTTCCCTTTCCTTCTCGTCCTTCTTTCTTTTCTTTTTGTTGTTCTTTGATTTTTTTGAGATAGGGTCTCCCTGTTCTAGCTGGCCTGGAACTTGCTATGCAGACCATGCGGGGCTCAATCTCTCTGTCTCCTGAGTGCTGGGATTAAAGGCGTGCACCACTGTGTCTGGCTCTGCTTTTTTCTTAAAGTAATTTGGCTTCTCTTCTCCCCCCCCCCCCCCTCCCCCTCCCCCCCCTCCTCTTTTTCTTTTTTCTTTTTGAAACAGGGTCTCCCTGCAGCCCCACCTGTCCTCGAACACTCTATGTAGACCAGGCTGGCCTCAAACGCACAAAGATCCACCTGCCTCTGCCTCCCAAGTGCTGGGATTAAAGGCGTGCACCCCCAGCTTGGCTCTTCTTTTTCAAGACAGGGTCTCAATATGCAGCACTGGCTGGCCTAGAACTCACTGTGTAGACCCACCTGCTTCTGCCTCCAGAATTCTGGAATCAATGGCACGCACCATCATGCCCTTTCCTTTTTAAAACTGATTTATTTTTATTTTATATGTATGAGTTAAGAGTTTTGCCTGTATATAAGTGCAACACAGTCGTGCAATGCCTATAGATACCAGAAGAGGGTGTCAGATTCCCTGCCCCAGAACTGGAATTACTGGTGGTTATTGGCTACCATGTGGGTGCTAGAAACCGAACCTGGGTCCTCTGCAAGAGCAGTCAATGTTCTTAACCATTGAGCCATCTCTCCAGCCCCTAAATACAGTTATTCTTCTAATTTCAGGTAAAACTCCTGCTCCCTACACTCATTTTAACTGACTTCTTCTTGAACGTTCATTCTTCACCTGTTCAAAATGAAGCATTTTGTTTCCTCTCTGATAAACTAGATCTTCTGCCAGAAAAATACAGCAAAGGAAACTCTGTGCCCATGAAAAACAGCTGTCCACGTCCTTCTCCCTCAGACCCTGGCGATTTCCTCATTCAGCTCCCTGTCTCTATATACTTGACCACTCTAGAGCCCTTCAGTGAACAGATTGCATAGAAATTATCTTTTCATTCACTTTTTGAGTAAGGGTCTCATGTAGCCCAGACTGGCCTCCAACTTGCTATGTGTTTGAGGTTGACCTTAAACCTCTTGCTGAGCATGGTGGCACACGCCTTTAATCCCAGCGCTTGGGAGGCAAAGGCAGGCAGATCTTTGTGAGTTTGAGGCCAGCCTGGTCTACATAGTGAGTTCCAGGACAGCTGGGGCTACAGGGAGACCCTGTCTCAAAAGACCTCTGATCTTCTTTCCACCTCCTGAATGCAGAATTTTAGGAATGTTAAACCACCATGTGTGGCTGTGTACAGTGTTAGGGGTTGAACCCAGGGCCTCATGCATGCTAGGCAAGCACTCTACAAACTGAGCTACATGCCAGCCCCCATTTTGTTTAATTTTTAATTTTTTAAATTTATTTTTATTTTATGTGTATGCATGTATTACCTGCATACAGGTAAGTGCACCCATGTCATGCAATGCCCATGGAAGTCAGAAGAGGCTGTCAGATCCCCTGGGACTGGAGTTACAGACATTTGTTAGCTGCCATGTGGGTGCTGGGATTAGAACCTGGGTCTTCTGCAAGAACAACCAGTGTTCTTAACCACTGAGCCATCTCTCCAGCCCCAATTTTACATTTTTTTTCTGTCTTTTTAAGACAGGTTCTCCTTGCAGCCCCAGCTGTCCTGGAACTCATTATGTAGACCAGGCTAGCCTCGAACTCACAAAGATCCACCTGCCTCTGCCTCCCAAGTGCTGGGATTAAAGGCGTGCACCACCACGCCTGACCCCAATTTTTTAATTAATTCGTGTGTGTGTGTGTGTGTGTGTGTGTGTGTGTGTGTGTGCCACAGCACACTTGTGAAGGTCAGAGGCAACTTACAGAAGTCAGTTCTCTCTTTCCACCATGTGGGCCCTGGGTATCAAACTCAGATTGTCAGGCTTGGTGGCAGGTGCCTTTACCCATCGAGCCATCTCCCTGGCCCTGTTTTATTCATTCATCTATCTATCTATCTATCTATCTATCTATCTATCTATCTATCTGTCTGTCTGTCTGTCTGTCGTCTATCTATCTATCTATCTATCTATCTATCTATCTATCTATCATTTATTTCTGCGATCAGATCTCATGTAACCCAGGCTGGCCTTGAACTCCCTATGTAGCCGAAGCTGGCCTTGAACTCCTGATTCTCCTGGCTCTACTTTCTAAGTGCTGGGATTACAGCTGTGTGCCACCACTTTGGTATTTGTCCTTCTGCGACTGACTTATTTCACTTTGCATGTGGTCCTCAAGGCTCACCCAATGCAGTAGCGCCTGTCGGAATTCCTTTCCTGTTTAAGACTGAGTAGTATTCTGCTGTGTATATAACCCATGTTCTGGCTATCCATTTGTCCTTCCTTGGATACTTTGAGTGCTTACATCTCTTAGCTTTAGTACCTCGTTCCACCATGAACATGGGTGATATTGCTGCCTGTTTCATAAGGACTTTCGGGACGGGCTACCTCTGTCCTGAACTGGTGTTCCCTTCCAAAAGCGAATGGGTTGTGGGAAGAGTTGAAGGGTTGGGTGACGGTGGAGTACAGCTGTGCTCACATTTCACTTATTCATTCAACCATTCAACAACCATCAAGCCCCTGCTCTTACCAGGCACTGTTCTAGGCATGAAGAAACAGTCTGTGTGCTGGGGTTGCAGCTCAGCTGGTAGAGTGCTTGTCTAACTAGCACAAAGCCCTGGGCTGGATCCTTGGAACCACATCAACTGACCTATGTCTGTAATCCCAGTGTTAGGAAAGTGGAGGTGGGAGGATCAGGGAACTTCAAGGTCATCCTCTGCCACATATGTAATTTGAGGTCAGCCTGGGCTACACGAGACCCTGTCAAAAAAGAAACAGGAGGGAGGGAGAGAGAGCAGAGGAGACAGAAAAAACATATCTATCATCAATAGAGACAAATGTTCCCGCCCCCAAGGAACTTGACTTGTGAATGTGAGAGGGGCAGTGAACAAGGTAATACGATGTCTGCCGCAGCTCAGGACAAGGGGCTTGGGAGTCAGTTGTGGTATGGTTTAGCTGAGTGGCTTGGGCTGAATACACAACAAAGCAGCAATCTGGGGAGGCCTCTGCAGAGGTGAGATTTGGCAAAATCCCAAAGGAGGTGAGAATTGGCCGAGCAAAGGTCTGTGGAGCACCAGGACGCACTAAGGCAAAGCCAGGGAGACAGCTGCTGCCTCTGTGCCTGTGTTTGAAGATGCAGCAGATACTGCCAGGGGCTAAAGGGGCCGGGCCGGGACAATACTCCTAACCTTTCCTCCCAAGGGCCTCAACACCAACCCACTTTCTGTGACTCACATCCGCCATCTGGCCTTCTTGGGACTCAAGTGTGACAGCCACACATACTTACAAGTAGCCTGTTGCAGGGCCTTTGGGTGACTCAGCACACAAAAAAGGGAAGGGACACTGGGGAGAAATGAGACCTCCATCCTAGGAAGCTGGGACACTGAGCCCTTGCTCCCCCTCGTCCCCTGCCCCAGCCCAGCACAGAGCTTTGCCATGGTGGGTCAAGAATGAGCTCCCAGGGCCTGGTGGAAGGAGGTGTCCTACACACAGAGAGACACGCCTGTGATGTGCTCTGATCCTTTCGTGGAACTCACAGACCAGTGGCGGAGACAGCATGCATCATTGATCATCTGGTGGCTTCTTGAGTGCTGACTGGCCACCTGCTCCAAATTCCTAATGACGTCTAACTGAGATATCACTTGGACCAGTCACTGTCATGCTAGATGAGGCTCCTGCCTACTAGTGTGCTGACTCTGGGCTTTGTTTATTCTCTATATAGACAAATATCCAAAATCCTTATGATAGGGTGTAAGTGGGGCTGGAGAGACAGCTCAGTGGTCAAAGGCACTTGCTATGCAGCCGGGATGACCTGTACCTACAGAGTGCTGGGGGAAGAGGACAGGAGGATTGCTGGGGTTTTGCTAACTGCTAGTCTCACTGAGAAACAGAATTCCAAGTTCAGGAAGAGACCCTACCTGAAAGGAATAAGGCCAATAGCAATCAAGGAATACACCCAAAGTCCTCCTTTGACCTCTGAGCACTCACATACAGGTTCACGTACCTGCAAACACATGCATATTTACCACACACATAGGCCACACACACCCACACACTCCCATAGTACACACAATGGTGCTCTGTGAAGGGGGATCCTAGGAGGATTCTGTCAAGACATCCCAGGATGCTGAGGAGAAGGATTGGGCCCATCCTGAATGGAGCAGGCAGACTGCTAGTCACATGAGCCCAACCCACATCTGATATTTCACGAGACCTCCCCTCCCGTCACTCCCTCCACAGCCAACCAAGTTCATGGTGGGCACCGAGCAGGGCATTGTCATCTCCTGCAACCGCAAGGCCAAGACACCAGCCGAGAAGATTGTTTGTACCTTCTCAGGTCACCATGGCCCCATCTACGCCCTCCAGAGAAACCCCTTCTACCCCAAGAACTTTTTGACTGTAGGTGACTGGACAGCCCGCATCTGGTCTGAAGACAGTCGGGAGTCATCTATCATGTGGACCAGGTAACGGGGAACCAGGGATGCAGAAGAGCAAAGGGAACACGGGCAGTCCACCCCAGAGTGTTGGCCATCTGTACAATTTAGAAAATACAGATGCAGGATTCCACCGGGCCTGGTGGTGCACACCTTTAATCCCAGTGTTCCGGAGGCAAAGACAGGCGGATCTCTGTGAGATCGAGGCCAGCCTGGTCTACATAGTGAGTTCTAGGCCAGCTAGGGCTACATAGGGAGACTTCTCAAAAACAAACAACAAAAGACAAAGCTGGGCATTGGTGGCTCAGACCTGTAATCCCAGAATTCTGGAGGCTGAGGCAGAAAGATCTCAAGTTTGGGCAGCCTGGGCTACATAGAAAGATCACATGTCCATATACCACATCCCAGTGAAATTTAACTTTCATAAAAAAACAATTTTTTTTTCTTTCTTCTGAAACAGAGTCCTACTATGTAGCCCTGGCTGACCTGGAACTTGTTACATAAACCAGTCTACCCTCAAACTCACAGAGATCTGCCTGCCTCTGCTTCCTGAGTACTGCGCCATGCCTAGCATTAAAAAACATTTTTAAAAAAAATTTATATATATGGGAGTGGTACATGTGCATGAGAGAGCCCATGGAGGGGTGTGTGTGTGTGTATGTGTGTGTGTGTGTGTGTGTGTGTGTAGCTAGAGAAGCAAGTGCTTGACCTCCGAGCCATCTCTCCAGTCCCTATTTCCTCTTGCATGTAGCACCAAGCCTGTCAACCTGAGTTTGATCCCCAGAACCCAATAGCAGAAAGAAAAAACCAACTCCTGTAAGCTGTCCTCTGACCTGCACATGTGCGCTGTGGCATGCACACACCCACACACATACATACAAGAAAGAAATAAGTGGGTTTTTAAAAAAATTATTTAAAAAGTGTTGGACTGGAGAGATTGCTCAGTAGTTAAGAGCACTGACTATTCTTGCAGAGGATGCTGATTCAGTTCCCAGCACCCATATAGTGGTTAACTACTGTCCATAATTCCAGTTCCAAGGGATTTGATGCCCTCTTCTGGCCTCTGTGAGCACTGCAGGCACATGTTGCACTTACATCCATGCAGGCAAAACACTCATACACATAAAATAAAATAATAAGAGGCTGAAGAGATGACTCAGCAGTTAAGAGCACTGAGTGCTCTTTCAGAAGACCCAGGTTCGATTCTCAGCACCTACATGGTGACTAACAACCATCTGTAACTCTAATTCTAGGGGATTCGATTTCCTCTTCTAAACTCCATGGACAGTGCACGACGTTGGTGCACTTACACACATGCAGGCAATACACTCATATACATAAAGGTAATAAAATATTAAAAAATAAAATAATAAATATTCCCTGTTCACTGAAAAAATTTCTGAATATCCAAATGAAGGTCAGGAGAAAATATAGCTCACTTCCATTTCAGAATTATGAACCTCCTAGACATGCCCTTCAGGGGACTCCACTGTGGGTCCCAGTTCCAACAGCAGGAGCCTGTGGTCTGGTTCACTGTGGGAAATACCAATGTCTAGCCCATGGGGAGAACCGTACCCAGAGCCCTGTAAAAAGCAGCCTGAGAAGCCACAGATGTGTGAGGCCGGCATGCCAGAAGTCAGACCCTAGGAAGAACTTCCTGTCCAGCAAGAATCAGAGCCCCTGGATCCTGAGAGAACCTGGGAGAAAGGAGCTGTAACCCATCGGGCTCCTCCCCTCCCCACCACAGAGTCCTTGACTCACAGCGTTGGTTTCCACAGGTACCACATGGCTTACCTCACCGATGGAGCCTGGAGCCCCGTGAGGCCAGCAGTTTTCTTCACTACCAAGATGGATGGGACCCTAGACATCTGGGACTTGGTGTTCAAGCAGTGTGACCCTGCCCTCAGCCTGAAGGTCAAGTGGCCCCCCTCCCTATGCACCCAGATGCTCATGAGCTGGGATCCTTCCTGGATGGACCCAGGGTGTGCGTGTACGTATGTACGTACGTGTGTGTGTGTGTGTGTGTGTGTGTGTGTTGCTGCTGTTGGTAGGCATACTTGGACAGGGCTTCTCTGAGTGATTTGATTTCTGGCCAATTGCAGCTCTGGCCTTGGATGCATGGGTTCCTGCAGAGGGGTCTGGGGACTTGTAAAGGTAGTGGTGTGGAAGAATTATTTCAGGGAACTCAAACACTGAAAGGACACTGAGCATTTGCCTAGCATGCATAAAATCTTCATTCCTTCCCCAGCAGGCCAAGAAACAAGATAAAACAGAACAAGCAAACAGAAAAACAAAAATACCCCAGGGGCTGGGGATGTAGCTCAGTTGATAGAGTGCTTGCCTAGCATGTATGAGGCCCTGGGTTCTATCTCCTGCACTGAATAACAAACCAGGTGTGCTGATGCAGGCAGAAGGATCAGAAGTTCAAGGTTGTCCTTGACTATGTAGTGAGTTCAAGGCCAACCTGGGCTACATGAGGCCCAGTCTCAAACAACAACAAACCAGGAGGGAATTTAAAAGAATTAAATAGTCCCTCCTCTCCCTAAGTGTGTATCCCTTCAGAACCGTATACTCAGGCTCCTGGAACCCTCCCCATCAAGTTTAAGTTCATATCAGCAAGTCAGATCTCAGTCCCACTGGCTGGGGCCATGGAAGGCCAGGGGACTCAGGGATCCATAGTATGAATCGGGGTAAATTAACCATGAGGCTGGAGGCCAAGGTCTTGACAGACAATGAACTTCACCCTGTATGGAAGGGGGTATCAATTGGGGTGTTTGAACAGGGCCAGAACATGGGACAAACGTGACTTCATTTTTCTTCCTACCTGGTTCTGCTGACCTCTCCAACAGGTGTGTGATGATGCTCTCTTCTGCCTCCGGGTGCAAGACACTGGGTGCCTCATAGCCTGCGGTTCCCAGCTGGGGACGACCACGCTGCTGGAGGTCTCTAGCAGTCTCTCCACCCTACAGAGGAACGAGAAGAACATAGCTTCTTCTGTGAGTGCAGGGCTGAGGCCCACTCTGTACTTGTCCTGACCTAGCCGGGTCCCAGAGAGGCCCAGTCACACAAAAAATATGCCCCCTCCCTCTACCCTCTGGGAAAAAAATTGGTTGACTTTTTTTTTGTTTTTTTGAGATAGTCTCACTATGTAACCCTGGCTGACCCAAAACTCACTGTGTAGACTAGGCTAGCTAGAACTCATAGAGATCCACCTGCCTCTGCCGCCAGTGTGTTCTGGGATTCACACATTGCACTACCATGCCTGGTGGGTTATCTTTTGTGTGTGTGTGTCCCAAAATGAACTAAGGGCTGTTAGTAGTACTGATCTGCCTTGGTTCAGTTGTTCACACTCAGTGGTCCTGGCCAGGTCATTAAACCTCCCCAGGCTTAGGTTTTCTAGCAGTAAATCAAAGTGGCTTGATCCAGTCTGTGATGGTTGCAGACAATGTGGTAGTTTTTGCCAGCAAAACTGTTCAAGTGAAGGTTTAGTAGATGCCCAGAGAGAAGACAGATGGATGTGACCAGAACAATGGGAGAGCACTGAGTTCCGCCATTAACCCTCTTGACTCAATCCTCTCAACTCAGCTTCCTGGGTGCTGACCCCACAGATGTGTGCCAACACACCCGACTTAGCCCTCTTTTCGCTCTATGACCCCCATAGAGACTTCACAGAGGACTACTTTCCACAGAAGCCCAGCCTATGTTGGAGTGTCTAGTTGCCCACACCATCTTCCCACTGGCTTGCTCCTGTCCCTGTCCTCCCTAGATATTTGAGCGAGAGACCCGTCGAGAAAAGATCCTGGAGGCGAGGCACCGTGAGATGCGGCTAAAGGAGAAAGGGAAGGTAGAAGGTGAAGACGACGGCCAGAAGGAGGAGGAGGGGGCCCTAGACCTGAATGAGCTGGTCGCCAAAGCCGAGGAGGAGTTTTTTGAAATCGTCTTCTCGGAACTGAGGAGGAAGGATGCAGAGGCCATGAAGAAAAAGCCAAAGTCTGTAAGGACCTCAGCAGGGGTGGGAGGGGGTTCTGGGGGCAGGGAGGGAGCCATGTGGCCTGAGTTCTGCCTGACTGCTGGTGTCTGGGTGATCTCAAGCCAGTAGCTTTCCCAGATGGACCTTCACTGTCCACTGGCGAGTGGGAGGGATCACTCCTTTCTCCTGAGGAAACTTGTCTCAAATAGAAACCAGGTTCCTTGAGGCAGGAGCTCCATGCCTCGTGGTATTTTTCTCCCCATCTTGAACATGCATGGTGGCTTACTGAATTAGGGACCTGGGGATCTGTGAGTGAGAGTTTTGAGGCTTGCGGGAGGACAGGGCTGTGACATTTGCAATCTGTGCACCATTGTGGCTTAGCCCAACCCATGTCAGGAGTGTGATCTGTGATTGACCCCTCTGCCCCAGCTCACATGCATTTTCTGCCTTTGTTATCTGGGGTGTTCACATTGCTTCTAAGTTCCTCGGTTTCACCTCGGTTTTCATGTGGAAAATGAGGAGACTCTGCAATGAAGAAGGCACCTGTTTGCTTTCTGGCCTCCATACCAGGGGACAAAGGAAGACAAAGATCTTGTCCACTTGTGTCATTGTTCTTAGGGATTCAGATAGGAAAGAGTCAAAGACCAGCATGACAGGAAAAAGACTAAGCTACAATATGCCAGGATCAACTCTTCTAAGCGAGATCGGTGCATCGTGGGGCCCAGGACCAAAATGAAAGTGCAGGATTCTTGTTTAAAAAGTATTTAGGAGGTCTGGAGCGATGGCTCAGCAGTAAGAGCACTGACTGCTCTTGCAGAGGACCCGGGTTCAAATCTCAGTACCCACGTGGTGGCTAACAACTGTCCATAACTCCAATTCCAGGGGATCCAGTGCCCTCTCTATCCTCTGCACACATTGCATGACACAGGTACACTTACATACATACATGAGGCATAACACTCATACACATAAAATAAAAAATAAATCAAAAAAGAGTTTTAAAGTATTTAGATGGACCAGAGAGATGGCTCTGTGGTTAAGAGCACTGACTGCTCTTGCAGAAGACTTGGGTTCATTTCCCAGCACCCATATGGTGGCTAACAACTGTTTGTAACTCCAGTTCCAGGGCATCTAACACCCTCTTCTGGCCTCTGTAGACATTGTGCACAGGAGTACACATACACATGCAGGCAAAACGCTCATACACATAAAAGGTTTTTTTTAAATTTTAAAGTATATAGAGGAGTTTGGGATGTAGCTCAGTTGGTAGACTGCTTACCTAATATACACAAAGCCCTGGGTTCCATACCCAGCACTATATCATAAACTAGGTGGGGTGGGACACACTTGTAATCCAAACACCAGGGAAGTAGAGGCAGAAAGATCAGGAGTCAAGATCATCCTCAACAACTAAGCAATTTGGAGGCTAACCTAAGATTCATAAGACTTTCCTCTCAAAAAAATCTAAACAAAACAAAAAACAGCAAAGAAATTTCAAGGCTGTGCCAGAGCTTTAAATCAAGTGTGAGCCCTTCTAGGCACAAGTTTTGTGTAGGTGAATGGGATGCTGTAACCCCCACGTACCCCAGCCTATTTGTCAGATGGGTGGAATGGTCAGTTTTTGGTTAATGATGGGTGGGCAGGGGACAAGTGGAGCATCCATAGAAAATACCTGGGTCTGCCTGAGGACAGGGGGCGATTTTGTGGTGCACAATGCATTGGGGAGCCCTTGGCTGGGAGCCACCTCACTCTCACACTTTCTATGAGCTAGGGGAGTCAGGGCACCCTTATTAAGACTAGAGATCTGGCTCTCTGGCCAATTCTTTCCTTCTGTCACCCCTGGTCTATTGGCCCTTCGGAAGGCAAAGATTACAGTGCCATGTGGTCTGTGCTTAGTGTCCTGCCATCTGAAATGAGCTTCTTCTTAAAAAATATTTTATTATTTTATTTTTATGTGTATGAGTGTATTGCCTGCATGTGTGTAAGTGCACCCATGTTGTGCAATGCCCATGGAGGTCAGAAGAAGGTATCAGATCCCCTGGAACTGGAGTTATGGACAGTTGTTAGCTGCTATCTCTCCAGCCCCTGAAATGAGCTTCTTACAACAGTTTCAACATTTTAGATGGTGAAGCTGAGCTTTGAGACATATTGAGGTTCACAGCCTCACCCCCTCTTCTGCCTGTCCCACACCTCCACCTCTTCCTCTCTCTTAGTTTCTGTAATTGGTCTAAAATTCTGGGGATCAGAGAGCATCACTCAGAAGTTAGGCAGGGTGACCCATGCCTATAATCCTGCACTTGAGGAGAGGAGACAGAAAGAGTCAGTATTTGCAGCCAGACTCTTCCAAACAAGAGTCAATCTCATAAGAGAGAAAGAGGGCCAGGCGTGGTGGTGCAAGTCTTTAATCCCAGCACTTGGGAGGCGGAGGCAGGCAGAGCTCTGTGAGTTAGAGGCCAGCCTAGTTTACATAGCAAGTTCAAGGCCAGCAAGGGCTACAAGGAAACCCTGACTCAAAAAGACGAGAGAGAGAGAGAGAGAGAGAGAGAGAGAGAGAGAGAGAGAGAGAGAGAGAGCTGAATGTGGTAGTGTCCATGCCTGTAACCCAATTGGGAAACTGAGGCAGGAGGATCAGGGGTTCAAGACATTCCTTGGCTACATAGTGAGTTCAAGGCTAGCCTGGGCTAACGACATCCTTTTTTTAATTAAAGAAGAAAAGATAAAAAAGGAGGGAAGGAAGAAAAGAAGGCAGGAACATCAACTGACCCAGGATGGAAGCCATCCTCTGTGTGTGGTCTCCCTACTCCCTTCATCTCTAAGCCAAGACCAGCCCTCAAGGTGTCATGCCCCATCATAGGCAAGGGTGGCAAGGTGCCCCAGAAGATTCACGGTCACCTGCTCTGCAAGTGGCAGATGCTGGGCTGTCAGATTCCCAAGGCTCTGCCCACCTTCCACCTCCCCTGACTCTGAGCACCTGCTGAGCCAATGAGAACTTGGCACTATGGGCTCCCAGGGCCTTGTTGTCCAGGCTCCAGGCAGCTGTCTGCTTTTGGCCTCAGGAGATTCACATCTGGGAAATGAGAGGAAATTTACCTCTTACCAGAATTTCTGTTTTTGCTCCAAAAGAGAAAAAAAAGCACAGAGACGGAAGCCAGGGAGGAGCTGAATGAGTTGGACGAAGTGAATGCCAGGGAGGAGGAAGAAGCAGATGAAGAAGCAGATGAAGAAAGGGACGAAGAAGAGGCATCCGCCTAGGCTGCCCTTCGCCTGCACCACTGTCTCTGTGGGTCCCTTCCTTCTTGTACTGCCCTGGTCTGACATATGGAAAGATGAGCTTCCTTCTTAAAGCATCACTGGTGAGACATATTGGGGCCCCCACACTGGGGCCGAATCCTGAGTGCACCCCTTTCTAGGGTGGAACAGGGCAGGACTTGTCCTCCCGCTGGATCCCTGGGTCTCGGTCACCCTGAGGCTAACCCTGAGTTAGGGCACACATAACCTTCAGGTCAGGCTCTGGATGTGTCCCTGGATTCTGCTTATCAAGCCCCCCAGTTTTTAGTTATTAGTACATTTCTCCACCTACAGAGGGAAAAGGTTCCTCCTCCCTCTCTACTAGCTCCACCTATTAGCAAACTGGGAACAGAAAGTTTGCCCCCTTCTCCAATGCCTTTCCAAGCAAACTCCCAGGGGGCGGTTTTGACATGCAGTTATGTGGGGGTCGGGGCTCCAAGCGTGTGAGCCCAGCTATCCTTGCATCTCTATCCTTTTTGTTGCTATACTTCGTGTAAAATTAAATCAGTGACAACAGTCAGTGCTTGTCATGAATCCCACACTCAGAGCTCATGTAATTCTTTCAAGGTTTCTGGATGGTCCGTGCTCGAACTGTTATGGAGGCTGCAGGAGAGTGAGCTGCCCTGTCACAGCTGGTGAAGTGCAGAGCAGGGACAGGAGCCCAACCAATTGACTATGGGCCTATGTGCTGTGCAGGACTGAAGGGGCTCAGGGGTAGGCACTGGGCGAGGTTCCAAAGTCAAGGCATAACAGCAGTGGGTGGGTGAGAGGGTACCTCAGAGCCAACCTTGTACCCAGACAAGTCCCCGAGTGTCATATAGTCTGTGGTTGTCAACTGATCTGGGCAGGGATTTGTAGTACTTGTGTAAAGACTTTTGTTGAGGGGCTGAGGAGATGGCTCAGGTAGTAAAGTGCTCACCGAGCAAGCATGAGGACCTGAGTTTGGTCCCATGTAAAAGAAACTGGGCCTATTAGCATGCTTGTAATCCCAGTACTAGAAAGGTGAGGGCAGGTACATCCCTGGGACCCGTTGCTTAGCCAGCCTAGCTGAATCAGTGAGCCCCAGGCTCAGTGAGACCCTGTCTGCAAACAAGGGGGATATCTTGAGGAATGATACCCAAAGCTGACCTCTAGGAATCAGTGAGCCCCAGGCTCAGTGAGACCCTGTCTGCAAACAAGGGGGATGTCTTGAGGAATGATACCCAAAGCTGACCTCTAGTCCACACACACACACACACACACACACACACACACACACACACACTACACACATGTATTTTGTTGAGAAGGATACAGGCCATCCCTTTTGTCCAAAACATGGAGGGGGAGCTGGAGAGATGGCTCAGCAATTAAGAGCTCTGGCTATTGTTGCTGAAGACTTGGGTTCGAATACCAGCACCCACGTGGCAGCTAACAACCATCCGTAAGTCCAGTTCCAGGGGAGCTGATGCCCTTTTCTGTCCTCTGTGGGCACTGCACAACATGGATGCACTCACACACATGCAGGCAGTATAGTCATACACATAAAATGAAAATAAATAAATTTTAAAAAACATGGAGGGGACTTTGAGTTGCTACATTTGCCTAAACTTTGATGACCATAGTCACCAGTCATGTTTTTGGAGAGTTTGGTGTTCATATGAGTCCAGGAAGGACCATCTTCCATTTGCCTGTCACCAATGTGGCAGGTGACAGGGAGAGGGAGGAACTTGCTGGGTCTCATAACGGCAGATGACAGAGCTGAGAGTTTAGCTCAGCTAAACTCAGGGTCCTGGTCCTCATGCTTACATCACATACCCTGCACTCTGAGGTCCCCCAAAGTCCCAGGAGTGGGTTCATCTGGGGTTCTACTCCCTGCCTGGTGCTGAATCCTGGCCTCAGGCAGCAGGCACACAAGGGAGCAGAAGGCCCATCACTGCGGAGGGTATGGACGGGACATAGCTGTCCTAAGATACTCTCTTCTCAAAGGAGTGATTCTCCATGGGGTGAATTTTGCCCCAGTGGGACATTTGGCAATATCTGGGACCTTTTGGGTTTGGATTAACACAACTGATAAGGGAGATGTTCCTGGCGTCTCATACACAGAGGCCAAGGATGCTGTGCTGTGCGGCATTCCTTCCGGGTGCCCAGAATGCTTCCACTACAAAGAATGGTCCTGTCTAAATGTTAGTAGATGGTCAGGATAATAGCTCAGTTTCACAGAATGCTTCTCAGTACACACAAAGCCCAGCACTGTATAAACTGGGCATGGTGGTGCACACCTGTAATTCCAGCACTCAGGAAGAAGAGCCAGGAAGGTCAGAAGTTCAAGGTCATCCTTGGCTACATATCAAGTTTAAGGCTACCCTGAGCTACATGAGACTCTTACAAACAGACAAGCAAAATGTCGGGGGAATCAGGCTAAAGAAACCCATTGTGGAGAGCGAAAGCTATCCATACAGAGAGCTCTGAGAAAAGAATCCAACTACTTGTTGACTTGGGCACTGATGGGCCCCTGTGAGGGGCAGCCACTGTGAGCTCAAGTCAAGAGAGCATTTGTTTGTTCTGAAATACTGGCCTTTGGTTTATACTTGCAAAAGTAGGCCACCTGCTGGGGTCTGGAAATCCTTCCCTGTGGGTGCAGAGAGTACCTCTGCCAGGATGACATTCTAGACTCAGCTGTGGGAGGAGAGAAGAGAGCCAGCACACAGCGCTGGGCAGAGGCTTGTGAGTGCTGCATGTGGTGCCCCTTGCTGTCGTCCTTATCGCAGTGACCTCTGCCAGCTTCATGTACCACTTGCATCTGACACCTATTTTCTGTTTTCCTCTGTGATGATGAATCTTCACTAATTTGATTGGATTTAGACTCATCTAGGAGACACCTCTGGATGTGTCTGTGAGTGTTTCTAGAGAAGCTTAACTGAGGAGGGGCCCATTCTCGAATATGGGTGGCACCAAACCATGAGCTCACATCCCAGATTGAATGAAAAGATTTGATTGGATTTAGACTCATCTAGGAGACACCTCTGGATGTGTCTGTGAGGGTGTTTCTAGAGAAGCTTAACTGAGGAGGGGCCCATTCTTGAATATGGGTGGCACCAAACCATGAGCTCACATCCCAGATTGAATGAAAATGGAGAAAGGAGATGGCCACCTGAGTGGCTGCATTCACCTCTGCTCTGCTTCCTGGTCCACCCAGATGTGGGTAAGCAGCCTTACCCTAGTGCTATTATAGCCCAATGCCTTTCCTGTCCTCTCACGATGGACTGAATCCTACCCCCATTTATTTTCGATTTATTTTACATTTACGTATATGAGTGTTTGCCTGCATGTATGTATGTGTGCCATTGTGCATGCCTGGTGCCTCAGGAGGCCAAAAGAGGGTATTGGATCCTCTGGAACAGAAGTTACAGGCAGTTGTGAGGCACCATGTGCATGCTGGAATCGAAAGGCCAGCCCTCTGCAACAGCAGCAAGTGCTCTTAACTGCTGAGCTGTCTCTCTCCAACCCCTGACTGTATCCTCCTAAACTGTGAGCCAAACAAACTGCTCCTCCCTTCAGCTGCTTCTTGTTGGGTATTTAGTCACAGCAATCAGAAAAGCAATGAAGACACACTCCAAAGTCGAGAGCAGAGTGATAGCACAATGCATCCTAGGAGAAGCAGAACCCGCTGGAAAATCCACAGCTGTGGGTGTGGAATGCACGCTTGGAAATGCCAGCATGGGGTCAGGCGGGAGGAGGACTGGGGAGGAGAAGTGCAGTGGGTTACATAGAAGGTGGCAGAAGCAGTGGCCAGACTCCCGTGTCCACAAGTTACATGCACTCATCCATGCACAGCTCCAGGGAGGGAGTCCCCAGCGATGCTCCTTAATTCATGACACTTTCACTGTAACCTTGGCAGCTCCGTGGCTGCCAGGATAATCTACCCGCTGTTCCCTCCCATGTTGCACCTGGGTTCTGGGGCCCCAGGCCTGAGTGGAGGCACCATTAGCCAGTCGGCAAGCACCCCAGCTGGACTCATTCTTGCCATGGTCACAGGTCCCAGCCACAGAGAGTCAAAGAAGCCAGCTGTGGGCCCTCCCTCCCAGAGCTCACACGATGTAGAGAGAAGGCTAGCACATATACAGTTGTGCAAAGTTTTGTTTTGCTTTGAGACAGAGTTCCATGTAGCCCAGGCTGGCCTTGAACTCATATATAGCTGAGAATGACCCTGAACTCCTGATTCTTCTGCCTCTACCTCCTAAGTGCTATGATTATAAGTGTATGACACCTCCACCTGGTTTATGCCATACTGGGGATGGAACCCAGATTTTCACACAACTTAGGCAAGCACTCTACCAACTGAGCTATACCCCAGCCCCTGCAAAGTGACATTTTAAAATATTTTTAACTTTTTATGTGTATAAGCATTTTGTCTGCATGTATATAAGGCACCACGTGCATGCAGTGTTCATGGAGCCAAAAGAGGTTGACAGATCTCCTGGAACTGGAGTTACTGCTGGTTGTGGGTGCAGAGAACTAACCCTGGGTCCTCTGTAAGAATAACCAGTGCTATTAGCCACTAAGTCATCTTAGCCAGATGGTGTATATGCAAAGTTATATATGTACACTTGTGTGCAAGTGTAATCACATGCCAGCAACAGTGACTTTTCCATCAGGAAAGGCAGCTTTGTCAGTAAGTGGGTGAAGATTTCAATGAACTCAGAAAGCCCAAGACCACGTAGGTTTATAGTGACCCTGGATACCAGCATTCTAACCCTTACCCGCAGCTTCCCAATATCCCCAAGTCTGACAACGCTTATGGAAAGAGGTCTTGGAATGCAGCTCAGTGGCAGAGCACTTGTCTAGCATGTTCCAGGCCCCAGGTTCCACCCTCAGTATCACAGGGAAAAATAATAAGAGAGATCTTTACTGAAGATCAAAGGTGACCACTCAGACTGAGCCTCCAGCAGATTGCAGATTGCTCACAAAAACTTAGGGTCCAGGTAAGGAGGAACAGCTTTAAATAGTAGCTATTTGCACGGATATTCAATGTCTTCACATGCGTCTCCTCAATACTGTGGTGCTGTGCGATCAGCTTCACCCCACTGATTTCCCATGTTTACACTGACTACTCACTGGACACTGCCTAGAAATACCCCATTAAGATGCAGCCTCTCAGCTGAGTCAAACTGACAGGTGCCATAACTTTTGGAGGTTAGAGCTGTTCAGAAAAGGACCTAATCCAGTGCTGTTTTCCTGCCATTGGATGGGGGAGGGACTGGGCATGACCACAGGCCTCTCCAGGCTTCCATCACCTCCCAGTCCAACTACAGTCCCAGGGGAAGGCTCTGATTGGTTCAATTTGGGCCATGATCTACCCTCAGAGGCCAATCACTGTGATCAAGGCAGGGCCATAGGCCTTGAGCCAAAGCAGGGCACAGGACAGGATGCAGCCATAAGCTTCTCCACAATCGCTAGTGGGGGAGAAGGAAACGTAATAGGAAAGTAACAGGAGTTTAGAGTCAGAGTCACTATGGAAACACACCTCTGGGTGTGTCTGAGTGCATTTGCAGAGAAGTTTAACAGAGCAGAGACTCACCCTGAATGTGGCCTGGAGTCCTGGACTGTATAAGAAGAAAGTGAGCTGAGCACCAGCATTCAACTCTCTCTGCTTCCTGACTGTGGACAGTGTGACCAGCCGCCTCACACTCCCTCATGACTTCTCTGCCATGGTACATTGTACCCTCAAACTGCAAACCAAAATAAACCCTTAAGTTGCTTTTGTCAGGAATGTTGTCATAATAACCACAAAACTCAAGCAGAAAAGAATACTTTCAGCTGGGTGTGGTGATACACGCCTTTAGTCCCAGCACTCAGGAGGCAGAGGCAGGCGGATCTCTATGAGTTCAAGGCCAGCCTGGTCTACACAGTGAGTTCCAGGACAGCTGGGGCTACAGGGAGACCCTGTCCCTAAAAAAACAAAAAAAAAAAAAAAAGAATACTTTGAAGTAGACATGAATTGGAGATGTGTTTCCATGCCATATGGACTGGGAGCTCTTCCAAATGTTTTGCTTTGAGACAAGGTCTCTCTTTATAGCCCAGGCTGGCCTCAAACTCGCCACAATCTTCCTGAATGCTGAGACTACAGCTGCCATGCTACCATACTTGGCCCCAAAGCTTATTTTTGCCCATTAGTCACCCATCAGGATGGACCATCCTGGGTGAGAATTATGCATCCAGAGGAATAAAATGAAAAACAGCTATGGCTCAGTTGACCAAGGGCCTCTCTGACTGATCCAAATAGTCAACTCGGGTGTAAAACACAAGCAAGGTGGGGCTGGGGGGTTGGAATACACTGTAATCTCAGCACTTGGGAGGCTGAGGCAGGAGGATTATGAGTTTGAGACCAGCGTAGGCTAATGATCCTAACCTAATCTCAAACGAACAAGTAGGAAACAGCCTGAACACACCGGCAGGACTTGTTCCAGTTCCCCATTTGCAAATTGGACAGCCTCAGAGGCAGCCTGGGCCAGAGAACCCAACAATACCTGGGAGCCCCTGAGGGGGAGTTTGGTTTCTAGGCTTTACTTGGTTTATATATTTATAAAACCCAAGGCCACCAGCTGCTTCCTGCTACTGTTTATTAATAACTATCCCCAACACGAGCTCCTGGAGGAAGCCCAGGACACCAGTCCCAAGGAACAAACTGACATCGTGTTCTGCCTCTGGGTGCGTGCCAGGCATCTGAGACAGCCCCAAGGGACACGAGTGCTAACTTTATGGCTCCTTCCCTGGAAGTAAACCCCATGGAGCTCCCTCTCTGGCCTTTGGGCTCATGGGCTCAGCCTCTATGGGGCCAGATGATATAGATGATAGGCCATCAGAATCAGGGAGAGCTTCATACCATCCAGGTAGAGTGGGGACCAGAGAACCAGGCTCCACATGGTTGGGAAAGTTGGAGGCAGAGCTGGAACTGGAATCCTGTTTTCCCCAGGCCTCCTGAGGCCAGGAATCTTTCCACTGAGCTCCCCGAGTGTGCAACTGTTGCTATGGTGTCTTAGTTTGATTCTCCATTGCTGTGACAAAACACTCTGACCACTACCAACATGGGGAGGAAAGGATTTGTTTGTCTTACATCTCCCGGGTCATAGTTCATAAGGGAGCCCAAGGTAGGAACTCAGGGCAGGAACCTGGAGGCAGGAGCTGAAGCACAGGCCACGGAGGAACGCTGCTTACTGGCTTGCTCTCCTGACCCCTGCTCAGCCTGCTTACTTATACAACACAGGCCCACCTGCCCAGGGGTGGGTGGCACCACCCACAGTGGGCTGGGCCCTCCCACATCACTCAACAATCAAGAAGGTGCCCCATGGACATGGCCACAGGCCAGTCCAATGAAAGCAATTCCCCAATTGAGGCTCCCTCAACCCAGGTGTGTCAAGTTGACACTAAAGCTATCCAGCACATATACTTATCAAGAACGAAGTCTGCTGCTAGGTTTATCCCGATTGTCCCACCCAGTATCCTGTCCAGCCTTTTGACATTGAAATACAGTCTTGTCATCTACAAAGTTCACACTGGAGAACTGAACAATGAAGGTTTTTCTAATCAGAAAAAAATCATAATTTAAAAATGTATTTAATGTATGTGTCTTACATTTATTTAATGTATGTGTGCATGCATGTGTACCAGGGTGCACATGTGGAGATTGGAGGACAACTTGCAGGAGTCAGTTTTGGCCTTCTACCATGTAGGACCCAGGGATTGAACTCAGGTTGTCAGGCTTAGCGACAAAACTCCTTTACCCAGTGAACCATCTCACTGGCCCTCATAATGGTTTGTTTGTTTGGTTGGTTTTTGGTCTTTTTGAGACAGGGTCTCTCTGTAGCCCCAGCTGGCCTGGAACTTACTATGTAGACCAGGCTGGCCCTGAACTCTCAGAGATCCACCTGCCTCTGCCTCAGGAGTGCTGGGATTAAAGGCATGCGCCACCACGCCTGCCCCACCCCCCATAATGGTTTTTTTTTGAGAAAATTTATTTTATTATATTATTTTATTTTAATATGTATTCGTGTATTGCCTGCATGTAGGTAAGTGCATCCATGTCCTGCAATGCCTGCGGAGGTCAGAAGAGGCTGTTGGATCCCCTGGGATTGGAGTTACTGAAAGTTGTTAGCTGCCATGTGGGTGATGGGATTCCAGCCCCGGTCTTGTGCAAGAACAGCCAGTGTTCTTAACTACTGAGCCATCTCGCCAGCCCCCACCCCGTAATGTTTTAAATAAACTTAGGCCTTTGTGTTGGGCCATATGTAGCCTGGGTCAATGTAGCCTGAGAGCAAAGGTTGGACCCACCTGGGTGGTACTATTCTGGCAGGACCCACTGGGTCCATCCACCTTGACCAAGATTCTGAATTGAGTCCTTAGGCGTTGTTTGCTAGTGGGCAACACCGAAGGGCCAACCCTCTATTACACCCCAGCAAAACCAGGTACCACAGGGTTCAGGAACAGCTCTTTAACCATCCTCCCACTCTTTCGGCCACTGGAGAGTGGATGCAGACATGAGGCACAGGCCACCACATCTGCGATGCCCACAGTGCCTATGGAAACCCAAGGCTGTCAGCCGCGCCCTGGAGACGCCCAGCAACAGGCAGGCAGGCAGCAGATGTCAGTGGCCAGAGGGGCAGGAGCCCGTCTGCCCGGCAAGTCCCGTGTGGGGCGGACGCCTGGGAGTTCAGTGGGACAGTGGAGGTCCGCGAGCCCGGGCGCGGGCGGGTGCGGAGGAGCTACCAAACGGACGCGGCTGCCCCGGGAGGACGCACGGACGCGCAGGCCGGCGGCTACTGGACAAGCAGTGCTTAGCAGCCGCCGCAGCAGCATCGCAGGCCCAGACGCCTCGGGGAGGAGGGTACCAGCTTGCCCAGGCAAGGGGCGTGGCGAGCACAGGGGGCGGGGCGGAGCCGGCCGAGCCCTCTCTCCGGCCACGCCTCTCGGCCAGCGTCCGGGCGGCCCGCGCGTTGTTGGTTTCGGGTTGTCAGGCAGCGGAGGCGGAAGAGCGACCCGAGGAGGAGACCAAGGTGGAGGTGCGTCTGGGCCATGCCAGCTGTCGCGGCCTGAGCCCCTCCACCCGCCGCAAACATGAAGGACAGTGGGGACTCCAAGGACCAGCAACTTATGGTGAGACATCCCCGCCCCCCTTTAAACTCCTTCGAGGGGGCGCAGGAGGCTCCACTATCCCTGGGGACTGGACAGTCTCAAACGCAGTGTCCACTAAGAGGACATGGGAGGGATTGGGGTCTGGGATTGTGCAGAGCAACTTTGCCCAAATTCTAGAGGACAGGTGTCCAGAAGGTATGGTGGCCTCCTGCAGCTGGGAAGCTAGCATCCCCACCCCCCACCACCACCCGAGTTGAGTCTTCTCTGGGGTGAGGCTCAGTGCTCAGACCCAAGAGAGATCTGGTCTACTGCCTAAGAAGGAAGCTGGGAGTCTCTAGTGAACCAGAGGGGACCCCAGCCCAGCCCTGTGTGACTTTAAAGGCAGCTGGGGACCGTGGATGGAAAGACAAAATCCCTAGGAGTTGGGGGGAGTTGGGAGTCCCCAAGTTGGGACTCCAAATGTTGCAGAAAAGTTCTGGAAGGAACCTGGATGGCCCCCAGGATCTCCAGTTTGGGAATGGATGAGAATGTCAGAGGGAGGGATGGGGCAGGTAGAGGCTGAAGGGCTGAAGATAGAGATGATAATCAATCAGAGACTAGAGCCATGAGAGGGAGACTTGACAACCCCAAGGCACCACTAGGTTTTGGGGTTAGGTGAGGGTCTCTCTCTCTCTCCCAATCCTCTTCCCAGTTCCTAACTTCTTAATCTATGGGAATGAGTCCACATCAGGAGCAGGTGACAGTTCCCAGACACCAGGGTACCGTCACCCTGACACCACTTTATGTAGGGTACCTGCTTCTGCAAAGGGAAGCCTTGGCCCCAGACTCTGCAGCATCCTCTCTGGCTATGAGAATGACCTCTTTGAAAGGATTTGCCTCAGCATGAGCATGCTTGGTGTTGGTGGGGCAGGATCTAAGGCCCTCCTCTCCAACCAGGAGGTCCAGCCAGGAGGCTGAAAGACAGTCTGTTAGACTGTGCAGGTGAAATGAACTGAGGACCCTTTAGATCCACCCCGTATCCAGCAAGTGCATTCCTTTGTTCAACAAAAGAAAACCTCTCCTTCCCTTGACTCCATTCTTTTGGGAGACCCACGTATAGGGTGAAGACCCACCATCTCTCACTGGCTCAGGAATAGACAGCAAAGGGGCCCTTGGTGATGCTGTCTTGGGATCGTTAGGTTATGGTCACTAGATGTTGGGCTGCCCCAGCCTAACTTCCAGGCCCATCCTGTTATAGCCGGCACTTTTCCTAGCAATGCCTCATTCACAGATGCACAGAGGTGGCTCCATGCCCAAGGCTCCATTCTTAAGCCCAAGAGACAGACAAATGTTTAATTTGGGTGCATGACTTACACAGCCTGAGCAGACAGTTCTCTCCCCCGGGGCCGTCCCTGAGCCACTGGCTCTTGGAGAGAGATATAGACTCAGACCCAGCCAGACACACTAAGTACCTGCTGCCTAAGCAATGCCCTTGAATCATAGAGTTTTCTTTAGGACCAAGGATCCTGGGCTGGCTGGATGCTGTTGGAGGAGGAATCCTGAGGCCTTCTCATCCCTCCCTCTATGGCCAAGTGTGGGTCTCCTAACCAGGGCTCTGGTCTTCTCTCCCAGGTGGCACTCAGGGTCCGGCCCATTAGCGTGCCTGAGCTGGAGGAGGGAGCCACCCTCATCGCCCACAAGGTGGATGAGCAGGTATGTGGGTGGAGGCCTGCTCAGATGGCTCAGCACAACTGACTGGGCAGCCAGTGCTCTGTGGCTCACAATACCAACCTCTGTTGTGCTGCCTACAACATCACCAAGAAGTGATATTCACCCAGGAAGTCTTCCTAGGTGGGCCCAAGGAAAGCCAGAGCTTGTGGATCCTGGGTGGGCCCTGACTGTAGTTTACCTCTGGGTGCCCAGGGTGTAACTTCCCATCTTGGGATGTCTGCTACCCCTGGAAGATAGAGTGGAAGCCAGCTTCAAGAGTGTGCACGTTTGGCTGTTTGCTCTCTTGCTCTTCATGTCACCATGATGAGGGAGAGCACATGACACAATAAATATTCATAGAGAACCCACAGCATGCTGGGGATGATGCTAGGTACTGGAAAACCACCTAGAAAATGAAAAGCTCCATCCTCCATCTATTGCCCATGTTTAATGTAGGGAGACAAGACAAAGCATTCATCAAAGAATTAAAGCAAATGAGAGTTTGCAGTCTAGGAAGACTGAAGAAACAAAGAACACAGTGGTGATGGAGGGCTGGGGAGATGGCTCAGTGGTAAAATGCTTACTGTGTAGGCATGAGGACCACGAGTTCCGATCCCCAGAACCCATGTGAAATACTGTAAAATGGTGAGTGGGTGTGGCAGTTTGCCTGTAACTGCAGTCTTGGAAGGCAGAGACGGGATCCCCAGAGCAAGCTGGCTAGCAAAACGAGCTGTATTGATGAGCTCCGGGTTGTACTGAAAGACCCTGCCTCAATGAATAAGGTAAAAGAGGCATCAAGATCAAGGCTGATTCCTGACATCAACCTTAGGCCACCAGATGCATGTGGGCAAGCATACCCACACACGTGTGCCCACACACATGCAAACATGCACACACACATACGCCATACACACACACACAGAGAGAGAAGAAAAATGGAAAAAGGGGAAAAAAAATAAAAGAGAGAAGGTGATGGCGCCAGGTATGGTGGCACATGTCTGCAATCCCAGTCCTCATGAGGCTGAGGCAGGAGGATCAGCAATTCCAGGCTAGCCTGGGCTACAAATCAAGACCCTGCCTTAAGACAATGAAATAGAGACTTATGAGGGTTTGAGCAAACAGGAGTTGGAGTTAATTGTCAAGAACAGCTCCTTAAGAGTACGTTCAAAAGGAAAAACTGCAACCAGAGGGATTCGATATATGCAAAGGCCCTGTGGAGGGGGATTGCAGTGCAGTTGGGTAACTGAGAAAAGGCCAGCGTGGCTCAAATATGAGAGAGTGACAAGAGATGGAGTCCAAACCACACACTCTGTCAACACAGCCAGGATGTGCATTGGGGTGGGTACTTGATGACTTGGCTGCTTGAGTGGTCCTGGGTGTAATGGTGGGTACAGCAGGTACAGGCTTGGTGTGAGCCTGACAATGGCCCCTTGCCTCTCCTCCAGGGGCCAGGGAGGGAAGGAGGGAGGGAAGTTACAGAGCACCGAAACACAGCTGCCCCTGGGCTAGGTCCCTCAGAAGCCCCAAATGATCCATCCCCTTTTGCTTTCTTCCTCAAAACCCTCAGGCAAATGGGAATGCCTGGGAGAGCCCATGTGGCAATCAGGAGCATAGTAAGTGCGTGTCAACAGCACAGGAGCCCCATCTCTAAGTAGGGGAGACAGCCTTACTGCCTTGCTGTTTCTTAAGGCAGGGTCTCATATGGCTCAGGCTGGCTTTGAACTCACTAGGTACCTGAGGATGACCTGAATTTCTACCTCCCAAGTACTAAGATTACAGGTATGTGCCAGTCGGCATGCTAGGTTTATACATTGATGGAAATGGAATCAAAGATGTTGTGCATGCTAGGTAAACAGTTTACCAACTGACCTACATCCTTACAGTAAACCTTACTTTTGACTTTTTTTTTTTAAAGTAAGGTCTCCCTGTAGCCCTAATTGGCCTAGAACTCACTATGTAGACGAGGCTAGCCTTAATCTGACAGAGAACCGCCTGCTTCTGCCCGCTGAGTGCTGGGATTAGACTTTACATTTATTTTTATTTTGTGTGGAATGGAGTAGGGGGTGCACACTCACCATGGCGCAGTGTTGGAGGTCAGAGGACAATTCTCCCCTTCCGCCATAGGGTTGCAGGGGTTGAACTCAGTTCATCAGGTTTGGCAAGCACCTTTACCTGCTAAGCCATGTTGTTGGCTCCATGATGGGACTTCTTTGGAGGGTCTTTGCTTGTGCCGGCCCAGTACCTGGTGCATAGGGTGAGCCCCATAAATGTCATTTCTGGTCATCTGCAGAGATTCCCCAGGGCTTCCCGGTTGACTGCTGACAGGGCCAGCTAGAAGAGCCAGAGCTCCAGGAAGGAGACGCCTCCCAGACAAAGCCACTCCCTGTTTGTCCAACTGTCCCCAAGGATATCAGATCCATGGGTTGGGACAATAGTGTCTCTCTTGGCTGCTCCTGGCTCCCAGCCGGCTTGGGGGCTGATCAATATGAAGTGATAGAGCACACCCTGTCAAGGGTACAGCCCATTGTATACCCACGCTGGGCAGACACTAGCCCCTTCTGTCTATGTGGGTGAAGGGAGGGGCTCCAAGCCCGGGTCTAGCCTAACCCGGCGAACTACACCTCCCACCAGGCCTGAGCTGGGCAGGTCTAACAGGCTGCCCCTTTGTCTGCAGAGATATAGAGCACTGTCTAAGCATAATGGGCACAGGGCCCTCCACACCACCTCTCTGCACACTCTGCCCTCAGCTCCTTCGGTCCCAGTGGCTTTGAAACTGGGCTCCTGGCCTAGCCCCTCTCACTGCAGTCCAGATACAGCAAGGCCAGGCTGACAGCCTCCTAGAGCAAGCTGTCTCTTGGTAAATAAGGCCCTGGTAACTAGACATTTAAGACTCAAGGACCCAAGAACCAATGGATGGACTTCTGTTGCCTCCTGTTCTAACCAGTCTCCTTCTGCCCTTCTCCTAGAACCCTGTGGTTTATCTCTCCCTCTCCAGGGATACCTGGCTTGGAGGTGGACTCCAGGCTGTAGCTCGGTCAGAGACCAGTTGTTTCATCCCTCTTCTCCTCCCTCAGAAGGCCTGAGGCCCAGTGCTTGGGCAGTGGGGTGAGCTACTGTGCTAGCCCAGGACAATATGGCAGTGGTACTGTGGCTGGGCCCATGTGGTCAGCACAGTGTTCTGCCCCCTTTGAAGAAGAGGTCAGGTCGGTGGTCACCTGTTTTCCATTGCTCCCTCAGCTATGGCTGTCGTGGCCCCTGTGCCCTGGCCCCTGCAAGGGGCTCCCCAAGCTGATTTCCTAGAGCCTTGAGTGCTGGGCCCTGCCTCTTGCTTCTTGTCTCTCATTGGTGCTGAGTGGGTTCCTTTCCTCTGCTGGTATCCTCTCAGGGTGTGGGAACCCCAAGCTATCAGTGCAGCCCAAAGTCCTTCCTGAGAGCTCAGCCCTTTAGCCATGAGCAGAGAGTGAGCATTGCCACAGCCCACCTGTTAGTGGGTCCTGGGGGAGAGAGGGCCTCAGTTACTGGTTTGGGTCACTGTGAGGGGTCCCAGGACAGCCTTCCTTAGGGGTAGTCATCATTCTTCCGGGGACGTCTGGAACCTAGGAACCTGTAGCAATGAGGCTTTGCAGAGGGGTTCATACCCACAGTCAAAGAGTCCCTGGGCAGCAAGAGGCCTGTGTGGGGCCAGGGCTCTCTGTTGGTAGAGTGCTTGCCTAGCATGCACAAAGCCCTGGATGCAGTGCCCATCACAGAAACTGGGCATGGTGGCACATACCTATAATCCTGACCTGAGAGGTGGAGGCAGGAGGATCAGGAGTTCAAGATCATCCTTAGCTACACAGCAAGTTTGAGGCCAGCCTGGCTCTCATTCTCAAAGGCTAAATTATGGGGTGGGAGAGAGAGAGAGAGAGAGAGAGAGAGAGAGAGAGAGAGGAGAGAAGAGATTTGAGGGAAGTTGAAGATGGGCTTGGATTTATAAAGGGGCCAGGTTGGTGGCTTGCAGGGTCAAGGGTGTGTAGTCCTTAAACATGGTGCCTGTCTTGTGGAAGGGGGAATGAGGGTTTCTCATTCTCAAAGGCTAAATTATGGGGTGGCTTCGGTTCCACAATTAAATAAACTCCTGCCTGTCACTACCTCCTCTTCCTATACCCAGTGGCCAACTGCTGGAAGGGTGTGATAGGAGCTCCTCCTTAGTAGTAACTGAGGTAAGACTGAGTCCAGAAGCCAGACCCCTCAATGAGGCCAAGAAAGAAGGCTGAGGGAGAAGGCTCAGGATAAACGGCCACCCTCTCCTGCCAGAGCCACCTCCCAGCCCTCCAGACTGTGTTTATCTGTAGGATTTAAGTCAATGAACAATGCGTATAATCCCATAATTAGCGTTTTCCCAACTGTCTATTTCTGAAGTCCTGGGGAGCTCTGCAAGGGTCCTCCAGGAGGCCAGCAGAGGGGCCAGAGCAAGAAGGGACAGGGAAGCACAAGGCAGAAGGGGCAGGAGGGTGTGATTCGGGGGGCAGAAAGGAGAGACCAGCAGGAGAGGCTCCTAACAGAACAAAGGCTACAACGATAATCCCTGCCATGCTCTGACTAAGTTCCTGAGAATGAGCGAAGACCCCCTCCGTCCTGTTTCTTCTTCTGGGGACACGAGAGTAAGTGTGCTCTACCTACCCCAAGAGCTGTGCAGAGGATTAAAGACGAGGCCAGGAGGCCATGGTTAAGATGGGAGGTCATTGTATGAGACAAACACAGAATGAGGTGACAGGTGGCAGGTGGCAGAGACAGTGTGATGGGCACAGCTGGTGTTAGCCTGCTAGCTGTCTGGGGCACAGTAGGGCTTGAGGGTGCTCTGTACCAGCCATCTAGAGGCTAAGAGGCCCTGAGCATGGTAGGAAATGACCAAGAGATGGTTCAAGCTTAGCTAGCTCCTCAACTTCCCAGCCGTTAGCTACTTTCCATCTCTCTGTTATCCACTCTGGGCATTTCATGTGATTGGATCATATGCTGTGTGG